AGAAGAGAGGCTTTAACAAGTGTCACCTCGAGCCCTGGGTCCTGCCCTAGCGTCCACCGCCACACTGAGCCGTGCCCCGTGTCAGAGGGAGACAGCAGAGAGATGCTCATGAGGGATTTGCGCTGTGGAGCCTGCAGGTTGGCCACTCTTCTCACTCAAGCCAGGTGGGCACCAAGAGTCCTCCTCACCCCTCCTTGCCAAGCCTGGGACCATGCTGCCTGGAGAGGAGGAGAACCAGGCACCTGCCCTCCCACCTTCTCACCAGCGGGCCACCACCAAAGCTGGGTGACAAGACTCATGGAGGAGCCCAGCATCGTCAGCAGTGACCTAATGTAGGACACTTTCCTACTCAACCCTGCAGAAATGATCTCCAGATCACTGTTGCGTCCCACAATGAAAGGGATCTGAAGTCTTACCTCTCTAGTGTTGTCATCAAGAGATAAAGCACCAAGATTCAAAATGGGATGTGGGTTTGATCAGTAAGTTTGATCTCCTGAAGGATCCACACTACAGTGATTCTAAGGCATTGCATGTTAATGATCCTAGCATCTTCAAACACTCACTATGCCTCAGGCTGAGCAATACTGTACATCCCAAGCACATGCACATTGGCAATAGCACTGGGCGGCCCAGCCCTAGGGCCACAGGGTGACCTGGACCCTCACATGATCCTTTGCTTTCATAATTGCAGGAAATTGCAATTTAGGCAGTGTGCAGAGGGAAGTGTCCATACCTGGCACGAGTGCTGATATAGCTACAAGGATCTCAGAAAAACTCTGCAGGGCCACATCCCAGAGTAGCACAAGGAAGGGGTGAGCCAGGAGCTGAGGGGACCCCAGCACTGGCCATGCCCTCCCCAACAGGGCACAGTCCCATAGAGTCTCAGCAAGGCCGGTAGAGCCAAGGGTGGGAGAGGGTCCATCAACAGCCCCAGGCACAGTGAGGGGATGAACTGGGACCAGGGTCCCTCCAGGGAGCCCAATCTGGAGCAGGAGAAGGGGCTGGAGGCAAAGCTACAAGGCAGGTTCAAGGTCCATGCAGCAGCCAGGGCTGGAGATAAGGACATATCTAATGCAGCTCAGATGGGACAGGGCACCGAGGCCTGAGCTTAAATGAGATCTTGGGCCATGGGCAGAGAAGGTGTGTGGGTGAGGGTCCCAGATAAGGCAAAAAAGCCAAAGACAACCTGTATCGCATTTCTCAACACTGTCTGGGCTCTTCGGTTCTCATGGTAAAGCTGCTTTTCCCCCCCGCCCCCCCCCACAGACTCACACACATAGAAGATGCCCTTCAAAAAAGTCAGCTAGGCTGAATGCTGCCAGCCTGGTTAGATGGGATCAATACTTCTGTTTGTTCACCCTAATGAGGATATAGCCCCGCTGTCTTCAACCGAGCATGCCATAGTTGTGGCACACCACTAATACCCACAGGCTCCAAAAGCACCATGACTTTCACAGTTCTGTCTTAGCTGTGCTTTGCAGAGCTGGGAGCTCCAAGTCCATGTGAGTACGGGCCTGCAGGTGCATGCACTGCTAAGGAGAGCTACACTTCCTAGCTGGTTGGCCCTAAATCTCTCCCTGAGTCCCAGAGCCAGGAAAAAGCTTTGGGTTCATGAGCTGTAGCAGCAACAAAGCTCTGACCCCCCTAAGTTCAAGGAAGCATGACCCCAGAATTGATCCATCAGATGCATAACAAGAGACAACATGAAATTATTTCCGTGGTCACTTGTTCACGTCCGACATCGACATTTGAAAAAGTCAGGCAGCGAATGCAGCTAAAAATGAGGGCTCAGTGTTCAGCTGACCGAGCTATGGCCAGCCAGCCAAGCAGAAAGACCTGCCAAGCAAAACGCTCTTGGCAGGGGAACTTCCACTAATGCTTTTAGCCTGTTGCAAATGCAAAGTAACACAGGCCACAGTGGAAGGTGCTTAAATTAGGTCAGGCTTTTTTGGCATTTGCTCTGAGTGGAGAGCACGAAGAGACAATCACCAAGGCTGACGCTCAGCAGTTTGTGAGGATGGGGTAATCTGTGCCATTCATTCATGCCCTTAGTCACTGGCATTTCAACATGAAAATTCAACACCTTTGAATTCACATAAACTCTCTTTTTCTCTGGCACAGCCACTTTTTACCACATACTGTTCAGAGCTGCTGGCTAATAAATACAGCTAAAATGGTGGAAATGCCTAGTTACATCCATCTAAATCCTCATTTGTTGCCTAGTCTCCTTACTAAGGAGACCAGTACAAATCCAAAACACAGCACTATGCCAGCTACTAGGAAGAAAATTAACTCTAGCCCAGCCAAAACCAGGACACCCATCCAGGCCTCAAGCCAAGATGATAAAAGGGAAACACGGGCAAACCCACCAAAAGCATGACAGAGCCCCTTCACCACTGCCTAGTGCTTGTATAGATAGACTGGAAAAATGACAAGTGAGGGCACCTGAGCAGCTTGGCACCAGGATTTCCACGGTCAGCAGGGTTACTGACCCAACAACATGGCAGACAGACACCTGCACAGTCACTGACCTGGCCAGCAAGAGAAACGGGCCACCTTCATGCACAGCACTCAGAGGGAATGGGGCAATGATGGTAGGGAAGCAGGGGGAATAATTCCTATCAGATCTGAGCACATCCACAATGGAGATCCTTGGTGTCAGGCAACCAGCTCATCCCCCTGACAATGTGAATCAAGATCTGGCCTTGTGCTCACCGCAAGCTCATCAAACCTCAGCAGTGATGGGAAGATTTCCCTTGGGAGAAAGAGCAACCCACAGCAGATGCACTCCTCAGGAGCTGAATCTCTCACTACAAGCTTGCTTTCTGGTCATTCTCTTGTTTTGCTCTCCTTCATTAGATCTGAGTCCCACCCATGCCCAAAGATGTGGCTGTGTTAGCTCTCAGAGATATCATTTTTTAGGCAAACAACAGCAGCATCCCTACACTTCTCACCTCAAGCTGCTTTCTCCAGCCACCAGATCACTTCTGCAGCTCTTCTCTGCACCCCTCCCACCTTCCTTTCAAAACAGGACCACCAGACCTGGACACAGGACTCCTGGGCTTGAGGATTAACATAGGGCATGACAGGACACTGGACTCACTTTATCCCTGGGTGAGATTTACACCAAAAGGAATATGTATACTTCAAAACACAGAAAAGCAAAGAGACAAGATAGTAAGAAATGCACTATTAGAACTATGCAAACCAAGAAGCATCCCCGTTGTTCACCTCAGCACCTTCACCCACCTCCCAAGACTCCTTCTCTTGACCTGGCACCTTCCCCTGTTACCTGAAGATGAAATTTCTTTCAGGGGAATCCTGCTCCTTTCTTCCAGTCTTCCCCCAGGAGTAAAAACCAAAAGACCCCTCCTATTCACAATCCCGAGCTCCAGTCTCACTTCCCTTCTGCTCAGGGAAGCTTCCTTGTCTTTTTTGCTTGGATTCTGGGACACCACATCACAAGACATTGAAAAGCTACATTTTTTTTTCCTAGATCTGGAGCTGTCTTTCCCTGCGATACTCACACCAACCCCAAACATCGTGCCATACTTACTGAAACTAGCAGCAATGCGCTTGTCTGAGTGAAAGACCCCACCAGGCTTGTACATGCACTTGGATTTAGAGGGTTTGCTCACAGAACAAAGCCAGGTTTTGTGGACAATATCCACTTGCTATAGAACTACACTGGCTGATAACAACATTTCTTTCTTTCTTATCAGTTATTCACTTAACACCAATCACTAACTTCCCATTGTTTTTGCAGTAGGCTGTCCTCAAGCTAAATAGGTAACGGGTATCAGGGTCATGTGTCCTTTCCCATGCAGGCACAGTATCCCCAATTTCCCTGCAATACAAATTCATCACAGTTTAACAGGAAACACCTCAGCCAGTTCTCTTGAGTTCTTGGGTGCTGATCCTCTCTGCCTGCCGATTTAAAGGTATTTGCCCAGATCAGACATCATTCAAATTCCCCCCAGTTAACGCACAGCCAGCGTATAGTTCAGTCTCCCCTGACACAGGCTTGTCACTGATCTGCTCCAGGCATTTCTGTACCCATCTCTGCTTGTGAACAGAAGCTGTCACAGGTCAGGCACACATGCCAAAGCAGCTGTTCCTCCAGCTCCACCAGTCATAGTTTAGGTTATAAATGAAGTGAGCCAAGCTACTCCTTGGACCAGAAGGAAAACCCTGGGGCTTTCCACTCAGAGCTTTAGCTCAGAAAAGGCTAGGGATACAACTTGCAACAACCAGATGCTGTAGGAAGCAAGAGTTCCTAAAACACCTCAAAGGCAGTGCAGGAAGACACTAGAGTGGTTAATTCTCACACAGCACAGCTGCATAAACACATGCAGCCTTGCAACAGAACAACAGAGCAGCCAGGACCTGAAACGATCACAGCCTTAGTACAAGCTTTGGCTAATCTTCCCAAGATCATGTTGCATACTGCAGTGTCTTCAAAAGCAGAGTGTTTCTTCTGTGAAAACAGCTAAGGACTTCCATCTCTTACTCAAAACCAGAGGCCAGGTTAAGGGACAAGGAAGCATGGTTTATCTCCCCTGTGATCAGGACCCACATTCCTTCTCACCCCATTCTTTGGGCATGATAGACTAGGTCACAAATCAAAGCAAACCCTCCCTCCAAGACAGCAGAATCTCAAGCAAAACCACATATCACAGCAATTATTAATTAAGTTCCTATGTTTACAGTAGTCACTTATCAGGAATACCAATTTTTTTAAATCAGATGTTGGAGTTACTTTATTGGGAAAGCTGTAGGAAGACCAAAACAGCTGCTCTAAAATGTAATTACAAAGAAGAAAAAGTTGAGATCATACTGTGCTTTGAAGGAAAGTTATAGTTTAACTTGCATAGCACAAGCATACATAAGTAGTTGAGTTAACAGGTATTGATAAAGCCCATCTCAATTTGTGTTATTACTTTTTTTTTCTTTTAAATCTGAGCAACTGGTTGCTGGTCTCTGCTGGAACCAAGGTAGGCTTATTTGCAGCTACTGTCCAGTAGTTTCGTTTGGTTTAGCCAAGGAACAGTGTACACTACAAAGGTGCAAATGGTGTGCTAAGGAGAGAAAGAAAAAAGCAGTTATCAGATTAAGAGCATAAAATAGTATCATTGACCATTGTTCTACACTGATTTACTACCCCACATGATCCAGAATGTATGCCACTTCTGTGGCTCTCTAGATTTGCACTCTCCTGACAAGTACTCTGGAACACCTCTCTTGTTAGTACCTGCTCAGGATGAATCATTTCTCTCAAATAAACACTAACAGAGAAGCTGAGCAGTCAGCACTTCTGAAAATCAGGTTACCTCCTTTACCCATTCACACACAGGAAAGCTTTCAGCATGGGTAATACTCCAACATAAGCTCTCAGGCACAGGTAAGCACACCTGTACCGCTAATCTGTATGTGGATGTGTCAAATCATTGCAGCTGTCATAATGGTACACACAAGCTTCTAGCTAGGTGCTTAATAGATCACTTGTGTGCAGTTACACTTCTCACACACATAGGCAGAAACGGCATGTACACAGAGAAGCTAAGCCTATTACTGTGATTAACAGAAGTAAAGAGGTACTATGGAAGAACTAGACTCAGGCCAGATCAAGGCAGACGTACTTGGTGCTCTCATCTGAAAAGGTGAAGTAGTCCTTAAAGAGCACTGCTATTAGACAAACAGTATAACAGCTTGGTGGGCACAGAGTACAGGGGTAATCTGCCTCTTGTGATCAATGCCTAGCCCAAAGCACTATTCATAGTAATGTAAGTCCCCCAGGAAAGCACGTCAAGTCAAGCATGTTTACATCACCATGGGATAAGAGGAGCAGAGAATGGTATGGGGACTCAAGACACGGGACTGAGAGCCAGGAGACTTATAGGCTTGGCAGAGTTTCCTCCACATATCCTTGTGATCCAGACCACAAGCACTTTTTAAGAGGACTGAGGCACACACAGTCCTCCATGCACTACAGCCTCAGATCCCCACTTACAAAACAGGCTAAAAGGCCCTGCCTTCTCTGTCACCATCATCTGGCAAAACAAGTTCTTCAAGGGCAGTATCTTGTTAAGTGTAAAGGCATGAGGTCTCTGATCTTGGCTGGGGCAGACAGGAGACACCGCTCATACCTCTCTGTACTAAGCCAGCCAGAGGGAAGGGGTTGGAAACCCAGGGGCCAGTACGCTGCGCTCTGGAGCCTACCTTAGCCATCTGCGGCGCATCATGGAAAGCGCAGCTCTGGAGATCAGTTGCTGGCTTCGGGCAAGTTGTCCGCCCAATCTCAACTTTCATTATGTACTTGATTCCAGACACAATCTGCAACAAGACAAGTGGGCAGAAGCAGCTTTATTTGCAGCACATACAGAGGGGCTTTCTGACAAGAGAAGCCTAGCAGAAAGGCAGACAGTTTTCTGATTACATGATGGAAACCAGACTCCAAAAGTACAGAGGGGATTGTGTGTGGCAGCCTCCACAGAAGAGGCGCTTGGCACCCTTCCAAAAACAGGAAACAAAATCCAAGTAAACAAGTCACACAGTGCAGCTTCCTTAGTCAGTAAACAGAGACATGTTAATCCAGCAGCAGCGTAAGGAAGTTACTAGCTTCTTCAGTAATACACAGCACTCAAGGGCATTCAGATTGACAAGACCTAACCTATAAAAAAGACTTTTATTCAACTTCTATGGAAAAAAACCAGCTTGAACAACCCCTCAAGCTTGAGACCTGCTCTTTTTCCAAGAAAATCCCACAGGCCTCATTTTCAGCTGCTCCCCGGAGGGCACCAGCGCCGACCCTAACGCCCCCCTCCCGGCCCCCGCCCCCAACGCCCCCCCCCCGGCCCGGGGCCCACCCGGCCGCCACCCTTTACAAGCCCGTCCCGGCAAGGGGCCGGACCGCCCCAGCACCCACCTGCCTCTTGGCGCTGATGATCCGCACCACCCGGCTGGAGTAAACGTCGTTGCTGGCCTTGTTGTACTCTTCCATGGCGAACTGCAGGGCCCGCTGCAGGCCCTCGTCGTTGGTGGGGCTGTCGATATCCACCG